TCATATGACCCCTTTAAGCTTTTAAAAGTTTAACGAGAGATTACATCAAATACTGTATTATAGTGATTTTGTAAATAATAAGTTAATAAGAGTAGTATCAAAGTAATATGCATAGTGTTTTGGTAGAAACCATGGGTACGTTTCTGTAAAGAAATAATTTTCCAATATTTCCCATACATATACACTAAGCCTATTTTTAACTTTTGTGGTTCCTACATTATTTGTCATACATGTGTATTAGTAATTTATGTGTGACTTACTGTCAAACTGTCAGTCATACGTATTAAATCAGTGTGAGCCGAGGTTTCAGTGCTGAAGTGTTTGTACAGCTGTACAATACTGCATTGGGTGGCAAATGTTGCTAGCAAATACTGTTTCTATGTTTGTTACGACAGAGGGCGCTTTGAGGCTCAGAAATTCATAACCTCATGAGCAGCATTCAAATTTTTTTAAGATTCCTGGGAAACATTAGTAAAGTAAATCTATAACATTTAAAGTATTTTAATTCTACGTATTGTCACCAGACTTAGAAATGAAAACGTTCCCCAGGACGTCTATGAAATGAATACAACTATTTGAATTTTGTAATCACGACGATTGTGATTGGTCCATCTTGGCAAATCGCTGAGAAAAGTAACAGAAGTCACATGACAGCACATTTGCGCAAGCATAATAAAAAAAACTAATTCTCACCTATATAATCACAGTCGTATACTTTAATATACACTGAATTGAAAATACACATTAAAGAATTAAAATATGAGAATTATAATTTGATGCATCGTTCCTAACCAATCAGAGAAAACGTCTGGGCCAAAAGGCCACTCCCATTTTATTTACCGCGATTTAGATGTACTTTCCATTCTAGCCGGTTTGTTTGCACGCTTGAGACGCATTGACTTGTTTGTCATGATTACTCATCAGCGACAGCAGCAGGCGGCTCCCCTCATGTGTTTACAGCCACTGCACTGACGCGTCGCGTCGCGTCTCAGCCCACTTTCCGCCGCTTTCCTGTGCGCTTCATAGGAATGGAAAACAAACGTAAAAGTTAAGTTCCCGATGACGGGGCGGGCATCCATGAACTATGTCTAAGAAACTAGATTACTGTCACTGTATTAAAATTATTATTTATGATCATGGCGGCGTCGCAGCGCGCGAGAAACTCTGAACTCAAACAGAGCGAAACATGGAAGCGTCACATTATCAGACAGCTGAAATATCGCAACAGGACCCAGACGAGCGTCTTCCAGGATCTTATAGAGTCATGTAAGCTTTATTAATGCTGGTTATTGTGATTTAACTTTTTAGGCCATGCAGTGCAACTTCTTGTATGTCAGGCAAAATAAGAAAAACCTGTTGTTTTGGATGCAGTAGCAGTTCAGAAATCTACCTATTGCCGTATGGGTGATTAAATAATTGAATTTTATATATGTTTAAGCACTTAAAGATACAATATAATACAGTTAAATATTATAAAATATTTTGTATACAGAAAATACAAAGAATCGCAGTAACAGTTAAATATAATGTTTTACAATATCAATTTGTATTATGTTATATTCGTTTATTCGTAACGTATTTATATTTTGTTTTAATTTTTTATTATTTTATAATTTATTTAGTATTATAATGCAAAGTATGCTCCACTTTTATAAATGATTATGGAGAACAGAATATAAAAATGTAACTAATTTAACTGAAGGTCTAATTTGCATATCCTCAGTATAATCAAGACTTGTGCAAGTTCTCACTCATTCTGATTCTGTGAATCTTGACACTCAAGTGCAAATAGAAAATCTCATTAACAAACACTCTTGCCGTGAATGTAAACATCGGCTGGCCTCTTTTAAAACAAATCATGCTTGTTCAGAAATAGTTTGTCGTATTGTTCTTCTTATAGATCACAGTCTGCTGGAGAAGTCCAAGCAGAGAGCCCTCATAACCAAAGGCATTCTGGGATCAGGGTCAAGGTAACCTTTACTCTGAGTCATAATATGTTTTAATGTTACAATGTAAAAAGTGAAAACGTGCGGAGCAATTTCTACCTGATCTGAACCTAAAAATGGCTTCTGTTGGAGTAAGGTTTGATGCAGTCCCATTATATTTCTGAATATTACAACATAAAACAAGTTAATTTGGAATACCACATGAAACACATTTTTATACTACTGGAAAAAAAACCCCTCATAAACTCTGATTGTTAAATTGTAATAAAAGATTACTACGCATTACAATGTAATGGGTGGAGTTGTGGATTTACTGAAACGTGCATGCCAGTATGTCACTTTGATTGTACTATTATTATTATTATTATTTAAAAATGTTTTCGATACCAGAATGTATAATATGTAACACCTTACCAACCATACTATTTTGACATTACAGTATAGTAATAGCTAGGGCTGGGCGATATAGCTAAAAAATATATCATATAAAACTTCAGCATGTGTTCGTGTTTGTGTGTGCTGTCTGCGTCACTCATAGCACATGCCTATATCGTGCGCTATATCGAACATTTTTTCTATCGTTATCGAAGAAGGTGTACCGTCGATAAATATCGATACCGTTTTATCGCCCAGGCCTAGTAATAGCATACATTATTATCCGTTTTTTCATATTCAACCATGACAAATCTGTTTCTGCTTTTAATTTCAAAATACAGTTTTTTTGTCCCTTGCAGGCCCTCACTATCTGAAGATTCGCTGACATCTCTAAAAACAACCACCGGTGAGGTAGGAAACGATGGTATATGTGGGGAAAACAGAATCAGCCTCTCTCATGAGAAAGCAGTTAGATGATTGGATTTCTGTCAAACGTTTATAAACCAAACTGAATTTTATGGCACAAGTTGTGACCTGTTTCACTAAACAGGTTTACAAGTTGGCCTGTTGTTATCTCTTCCTTTTAGCAGACAGTCATCAAATCTACAAGCATGTTCAAGTTCCACAGAAGCGATGGCTTCCTACCTGTAAAAATGCCCTGGGAAATGTTCTTCCAAAGCATATTAATCTAACGTGAATGAGAACATTATTTACATTAACATTATTAGACATATTAGGAAAATTTACTGCTTTTCTTTAGAAATGATCTGAGTGGTGTATATAACCAGTTGTTACACCTAATCTCGCATTTTAAGCTTTCATAGGACCAGTTGGAAAGTTTTTGTGAAAGTATGTGATAAAACCTGCTGCATATCTGTGCTTTATCAAAACACAAGTCCTCTCCCCCATATCGAACTATTCTAGCTAATAAAAACTCCTGTAAAATAGATGTTAACATTGTAAACAAATGGCATTTGCACTGTCTGAATTAGTTTTTTTTTGTAAAAATTTTTTTATTGAAAGTTTTTTGGCTTTACAATAGTTTTGTTCTTGCAGCTTGCATACCAAGTGGTGGAACTGCAGCAGAGAATCCAGTTAAAGGAAGTGACACTGGATGAGCAACATACCAAGTAAACCTCTTTATTCTTTTATGACGTAAAATCAGGAAACCTCCCTTTTACAGTGGCCATATTATGTTCATTTAGAAATCCACAATTTAATTTTTTGGGGTCTGCTAGAATACAGAGTTCTGACATGAAACTCTAGATGGCGCAGTCCGATAGCTCTAACTCAGTCTGACCTAAGGACATGGCACAGCTGATTGGTTGTCTCCTGTATCGGTAGCCAATGAGCTCACTGCTCAATATTCAAATACCTGGCTTTTGTTTGCTGTAGCAGTCCGCAGCGCACTTCAGAAACCCTCCACCTTCCCCAGCTCCACCTGTATAGATCTGCTACGAGGTGATTCATGTATGCTATATGGGGGTTATTTCATGTATGTTATATTTGCAGCAGCAGTATTTCTTACATTCTTACAGCAGCATGTTGTGGATGCATCGGCAGTAGCAAGTCTCGGTACATGCTCTGCCGCAGCAGCAGATCTATTCCGCCAAGACTAAACACATTAACATTGTCATGTACATTACCATGCCAATCCCTCTGAGAGTTGTCATGACAGAAATACATTTAATATAATTTGAAAAAACATTCTTCTCACACTGTACATTGCTGTAACACCTCTCTGTAGAAGGAAGCATAGAAGGAAGAAGACGTGTGTATATATATATATATATATATATTTACAAATTATTAATTGTATTTATCATGTTCGACCATTCATCCCTCTATGCTATACATATATTAAACAAAAAATTATTCTTTGATTTATGTGAACTGCAGTGTTATGAAATAACTATAGACATTTTGATCCCACTACTGAGTGATAGCTTTTGCAACCCAATTTTTAAATATATTTACACTGTAATGGTAACCGGGTGCTAACATTTTGAAACTAATATAAAATGACGGCAAAATGGAAAAACAGAACATGTAATGTTTAGTTTTACCTTTTACCGCTCAATATTGTTAAAGGCACAATATGTAAGATTTTTTAATTAAAATATCCAAAAACCACTAGAACAGTTTTGTGTACAGACTTGTGTACTTACATTATCCCAAATGTTTCAAAGAATGTTTAAATCCAGAGAAATAAGCAATTTTAATTAGTGACCGTGTCCATAGTGTCATTTTGTCGCCTGCCAATGACGTCATAACCCCTCGATTTCCGGTTTTGTTTTGTAGAAAACATGGAAACACCAAAGACGCTTTAATATGTTGTGCGTTTTAATAGACCGGTGATGACCGCACAGAGTAGCATTATAACAGAAATTTCATATATAAAACACCCTCGCCGTGTTATGATTTTGAAACGTGCAGTGCTCATGTTTATTCAACGAAGTCAAACGGCACAAATAAATCAATGTATGGGAAACTGGTAATGTATATCGAAATATCGGAAATGTGTTTAAAAATCATATCACCGTTATTGAAAAAAATTATATCGCGATACATATTGATATTGAATTATTGTCCAGCCCTACGCTAAAGTGTGGCATAATAAAAGCTCCGCTGCTTTCGAGCCATGTGTCACTCTCGTTTCTCATTAGCAATTGCTTCAGCGGCCTAGTTTCGCTTCGAAGGCTTTCCGCCTCACCCTACTTCATACTACGATGTTAATAAATCTTTAATACATTAGCTCATCCATGAACTCATCCATCGGATTGCTTCGGCTGTGGGGATGAAGACGACAACTCCCATGATTCCACACTCAGTCACGGCGTCATCAAACTACGCCTTTGTTTCTTTGTTTGTTTTGAATACACGCCCTCTAGCGGTGAAAACTTACATATTGTGCCTTTAAGCACCTCCTTTTAATTACACTTACTGACACTCCTTTTACTAAAACTGTGTTGTTGTTTTTTTACAGAGAGAGAGCCTTAGGCCCTATTTTGGATCCTATATGTGGAAAGTGGCATTTATTTACACACAAGCTGTTGTCTCAATATTATAAATGGATAATGTCCTAAATTTTGGTCACAAAGCTAACATATGGCTAAAGGTGACCCTGGACATTCTGCCATATCTCTCCATTCTTTAGATGAAAAATAAATCATACAGAATTTCCATTAACTATTCCTTTTTATAGCTGTAGACTTTTTAGCTTGGTCTGGATGTGCATCGTGGAATGCATAAAGTTGCAAAATGATTTCTTGAATATCCAATATTTTGGACAATTTGGACCATTTTATGATAGATCTTGTATGTATAATGATTTTTTTGTTGTTTTAATTAGGTTATATGAGGTCCAAAACCATCTCAGTGTTTTGGCGTCAGAGCACAGCGTGCTTCAGGAACGCGTGGTAGAGGTACAGACTAGAAACCGACTTCTGAAACAAGAATATGATTCTCTGCTGGAGCAGCACCAGAACATGGAGAGGACGTACCGACAAGAGAAACTCCGCAGCTCAGAGATCCTGGAGAACATGATCGGTCCAAAACAGCAGGCTGCTGTCCGCATGAACCATCGCAATGAGAAGAGAGTGAGGTCAGAGGCATGATGGGAAGGGAAATGTGTGATTGCTGCGCCATTAGAATAACCAAATCAAATCCCACCCAAAAATAATCTCCCGTCTTCTAATTCATGTCATCGGTTGTGCATTGATTCAGCAGAATGGATTTAAAAGAAAGTGAAATGAAAATTCTGTCATCATTTACTCAACTTCATGCTGTTCCAAACCTGACTTTCTTCATTCTGTAGAACACAAAAGTTTTTTTTGGTCCATACAATGAAAGCCAGTGTGGTCCATTGCTGTTTTGAACCCTACTGACTGTCACTGTATAGGTAAAAATATTCTTTAAAATATCTGCTATCGTGTTCAGCACAAGAAAGTTAATTAAACCGGTTTGGAATAACATAAGGGCGAGTAAATTATGACATAATTTTAATATTTGGGTAAACTTTCCCTTCAAATATGTTACAATGTGGGAGCTAAAAGTATTACATTTACATTTAGACATTTAGCAGACGCTTTTATCCAAAGCGACTTACAAATGAGGACAATAAAAGCAATCAAAATCAACAAAAGAGCAATGATATGCAAGTGCTATAACAAGTCTCAGATAGCTTAAAAATGTATTACATTCTTATTAGTGTCCAAATATTTTGTAACATCTGTCAACAAGGAATAAAGGACACAGAGGCCACGTCAAACAACAGTAGAAGCATTATTTGTTCAAATTCAATGGCTTAGAAGATGGTTAATGTAGTTAACGAATTAGTGTTTCGTTAAAGAAGGGTCACATTTCAAAGTTCACTGAGTATATTCTCTCTGCTGCTGTGGTATTCTGCTGGCAAATAATTTGTAGCTTCTTTTTTCCTAAATGTTGAAAGCAAATGTTGTCCGTTCCATAAACACCACATCCTTCTTGATCACATTTCCTCTTCTGTCTTAGAGCCAGAGAGGCCAGTCTTCACAAAGAGCTTCAGATGGCTGCCAGTAAGAATGTGAATATTGAGTAAGTATCAGCTGTATAAAGTGTGAATCTGATTTCACGTCAATCCAAACCCTCATCGCTGTCTTTCTACTGTGAAGCGCAAAAGGAGAGTTGTTACAGTAGTGTATGCGCTGTCATTTATTTATTCGTGTTTCACGGAGGAAAGAAAGTCATGCCGGTTTGGAATGATATGAGGCATATAAGGGCAGCATAAACAATCCTATAAAATCAACATGTAGATCATTCAAATGTTTTCATTAATTGTTTTGCTTTTGCCTGTCAGAGAGTCAGGAAATGTGTCACCTCCCAAACCATCATCCCCTAAACGTGACTCTTCACAGAGGTTGGAGAGATCCCATGGGCCACTTTTCAGGTAACAGCAGGGGCTTTCATGTATAATACAGTAATTATTTTGGGTAAAATATGTAAGTAATATTTCGGGTGTACCTTGAGCTTTATCTATATCATGCTGTTGATTACCCTAGGAAATAATTTTGCCTAATTCTGGCTAATTATTGGCTAATTTTGAATAATTTTGACGTGTAGTATCTTTAATAACCGAATGTATTTTTTCTCAAAGTCTCGACAGTTGTTGTTTTTTCTTCTCAGGTCTGCTTCAGCTACATCTCCCCGCATCATCAGCTCCATCAGAGGACTTTTTGAGTAAGTTTCTCGCTGAAAGCTCTTTAAGTGCTGATGAATCACTGTATAGCATAAGCTGTGATTGTCTGAATTTTTTTAAGGCATTTCACAGGGGAATGTGAAGGGGAACGTTATTTTTAATGCTGACATGTTAGTGTACATGTACATAGGTGTACATAAAAAAGATTATGTAGAAATTGTAATAAAAGTGAGCAGTGCTTTTTAAAATGAGAAATACAGCAAATTCTAAGCAAATCCCATAATAACATATAGCTCTCAAAACGAGGAAATTCAATCATTAAGCCCTTTGAAAAACCTGTAGCATGTGTAGCATAAAAAAACAAAAATGTGCTTGAAAAGTAAACCTGGTGTTAGAATGTAAATCTGATTTGAACAAACTAGTATAGTCTGAATCTACTTTATGGGCACACACACGAAGCGACAGCTGATGATTTACAAAAAAAAACAATCGTAAATTTAAAGTATGCTAATACTGAATAAATAAAATAAAATTCCATTTTATTTTGAATACATTTTAATTAATACATTTTATATAATTAGTATTGAATGAACAAAATTTTGATTTAACTGAAGTATACTGGATCTGACGAATGATTTTGAAGTTACAGTTTAGTGCATTCTCTGTCGTTTATTTCATTACAGAGTCAAGACATCCATTCTAGCTCTGTAGCAGTTGTTTGCATGGGAAATGTTATTACTTCTATATGTCAGTTTCCTTTTTGGTAAAAACCTGCACCCACAGTACTTAACTGGCAGAAGCACTAATTTAATTCCATACCCGATCTGACCTATTTGACGTAAAGACGTGACTCGAACCACACCCGCATTAAGTCTGCTACCTAAGGTATTTTAAAGGGCACCTATTATGGCCATTTTACAAAATGTAATATTGGTGTAGGGTGTCCCCAGAATGTGTCTGTGAATTGTCAGCTTAAAATACCCCACAAATTTATTATAACAGCTGGAAAATGTCATTTTTGGGATGTGTGTAAAAAAGAGCTGTTTTGGTGTGTATCACTTTAAATGCAAATGAGCTGCATATTCCCACCCTGTCTCCAGAAGAGGGCGTCGCATATACATCTCTGCTTTGCATACTACTGCAATAAACAGCCAGTAAAAGCAACATGACTGAGAGCAAGAGAACCGGTGTTCAGCCGTACATATAGGAAGCCAAATGCACTGAAAGTGGGACGAAACAGCGCAATGTTACAGAGTTACGAACGGACAACGCGGCACGAACTAATCTTACAAGCGCGATGCTGATCAGTTAAAATACTTTGATAATATATGCACACAAATACGGCTAAAACGTTAGTTAAGCACTATAACGACATGACATTCACAAAGCAGTCTGGAGTGAAATGATTTGCGCAGACATATACGTATTTAGGTAGATTTTGAGGCGCATTACCGTGAAAAATAGAAGTAATCCGCTGCGTCCTCAGTGGCTCAGATGTTGGGAGAAAATGAAGACTCTTATGTTCAGTCTTACATCCAAACACAGAACACCGGGACTGCTTACGAGACATTGTTACAGCTGCTCGAGAACGAAGAAAATAGAGGACAGCGTACAACTGCTGAGGCCGGAAACTATAGCAATGCAGGGCTGTAATCAGTTTTTATCATTGTAGGGTGGTTGTGTTCACATACTGCCAACACACATTTATGTCCAAACACCATGTAAAAGTGGATATTTTATAATAGGTGCCCTTTAAAGGATTCACTGTGTCTCTCCTGAAACTCTGCAATGTATACCTGGCCGCTGGTCCTCTTAGCAGCATGAAAAATAAAACTTTTATTCAAATTATGAATAGCTCATTTACAGAAAGCGAATAAGGAGCGCTCCCTTTATAATCAAGCTGTCATTCACTTCAGTTGCAGCGTGATTGGCTACAATGCTCAACGCTGCAAACTCTGTTGCAAATAGAAACATTTTTACAGTCTTCAGACTACAGAGCATGAACACAAATAAGCATGGGACTGTTTGGAATCAGTTACCTATCAGCGGGTATCGAATTGAGTCTAAATAGTCTTGGCAATTGGACCCGCAGTCCACCTGAGCCTATTGATTCCCCGACCCGGACCTGCACCAGAAATGACAACGTAAATAATATTCCACCCGTTACATCAAATATTAACGTGCAGGACTGTGTTATGTGTTGGTATTGCGTTGCTGTATGTGTGTCATGTCTAGCATCATTAACAGCATTGTTGATCCAATGTGGTTCTTACAACATATGTGGCAATCTGCAGTAGTTACTCTGCAATAGTTACTATGCTTTTGTGAAACAATCATGACTACAGTAGCTAGTTTGTTTATCCAACGTTTTATCTTAACTGTGGTGTTTAAGCAGCAAGCTGCATTGCTGTGTGGGAAACTTCCCCATATGAGGCTACAGTAGGTTTTTCAGTAAATATATAGTCAATATCAGAAAATGAGTTCAGCTGTCAATAAGATTGAAGTACATTCTAGTAAAAAAAAAAGGCTGCAGATTATGTCTGGACCTGGAAATTGGTTAAAAAGAAAAGTACTTTACTGTATATAAAAGAGTGTTATGCTGTAAAAATTAATTTCTTTCTACTTCCAAAAATAATCTGATTATGCAACACAGTAACACGGTACACTCAGCCCAGCATCTCTATGTATATAAGTTCTGTACTGTTCATAAGCATTATTGATTGTTCTTTTGTTGTGTGTGTCCTTATATGTGTGTCTAGGAGGAAGATGAGAGGTAAATCAGTTTGCAGATCAGAGGAAGACCTCTATATTCCATTAGGAGTCTGCCTGGTTGCCAGAGTCCCAACCAAGGCAATTTTTACAGTGGTGCGTGTTGCTTTTTACAACAACATCCAACAACAAAATCTGCTTCTCACAAGCTTTGTGATGATGTTCTGTCTAGTTCTGGTCCTGTTGGGCTATGAAGCAAGTCGAAATGTATATAACCTTGAACCCTGAAAATGATGGAGAAAACGTGTAGATGAACTAGTAAACAGACAGGCATGGAGAGGTAGGCTAAATGGACTATAATATTGATCTTGTGGTACTTAAATGGGTCATGTCTTAAAGATATCTTTAAAAGCACATTCCCTGTAGTGGTGGCTGGTGGTCTGTCTGTGGATGATGTGACTGTGGAACAAAGCGTCTGTGTGTCGCTGTGAAGCAGTGTCTTTCTATAGCACACTGCAGCTCTGTCAAGTGCAGCCACCCGCTTCACACGTCCATTTTAATTTGAATAGCTGACAGCAGGAACCAGCCCGAGATGTGGTATGGAGAGGAGTTGCCACTTCCTTAAATGGACATGTCGCAATTTAATGATTTGCATTTCCTGTTGATCTTTTGGTTGTTGGTGTATCAGAATTTAAATCGTTTGGTTGTTGGCATATCAGAATTCAAGAACTGTTTCTAGTCATTTCATCGATTTTTTAAGAGATTTCTACAAATTGCTGTACTTTTGCTGTTAAATAGTTGAAGTGCTTATTACCTACAGCTTACATTTCAATTTGAGTGTAAAGTAATACACTTCTTGTTTGTATTGTTTTTACACCTTAGTAAAGTTGCTTCCCCTTCTGTAGTTTCACATTGTAGTGCACTGTTTAAAAATAAGATTGGACATGACAGTTATTATTATTTGTGCCGTGTTAAAAACAGAAGGTAGTTAAGTTCCTCAAAATCAGACACATGGTTAATAAGATATTGAGATAAAAATCTTTTGTAACATTAAAGTGGTTTGTTCTGTTACTTGTGACCAATTTAATGCCTCCTTGCTAAATAAAAGTATGATTTTTAATGGTAGTGTATCACAGTTTCCACAAAAATATTAAGCAGCATTTTATGATTTCTGAAGGATCATGTGACACTGAAGACTGGAGTAATGTTGTTGAAAATTCAGCTTTGCATCACAGGAATAAATTACATTTAAAATATACAGAAAACAGTTGTTTTAAATTGTAACCGTATTTACAATGTTGCTGTTTTTACTATATCTTTGATCAAATAAATGCAGCATTGGTTAGCATAAGAGACTTCTTTCAAAAAACATTAATAGATAGATTGCTAGGATATTTTGGGTGATTGGTACGGTGTTGCTAGGGTATTCTGGGTTGTTGCTAGGAAGTTGCTAGGGTGGCTTAGGTGGTTGTTAGGGTTTTCAGAAAATGCAAACTGATTAAATGTATTCATAAATGCAATCAGTTTGGATAAAAGTGTCTGACGGATTCATAAATGTAAATGTAAAGGATTAGAAATTAATGTGTGTTTTGTGGTTTCAGGATGCTCATGAGCTGGGAATCAATGCTGTGAGGTTCAGTACCAGTTCAAACCTGCTGGCTACAGGAGGAACTGACAGAGTCATCAAACTGTGGGGCATTGAAGCAGGTACATCACAAAACTGATCTGGAAAAAAAAAAATCTTCTGTTTAATTGTCAGCTTTAGCCATATAGACAGGGTTCAAATATAGTAAAAAACCCACATCGAGTGATAGTGAATGCTCTTGTCATTAAATGTGACTGCCTCTGACCACCAGCAGATGTCAGCACTCTAATATCTAAAACATCCCTTAGTCAGGGTACATTCAGTGGTGTATAAAGTACCTGAAAGCGGAAACGCAGCAGAGAGATCAAGGCGAAACAACGGTCAAGAATTAGAAGTACAAAACGAGGATTTGTAAAGAAGTATGTTGGAGGATTTCGATATAAGCCAAGAGGAGACTTGTTTTCCTTTGCTAAAGTAAGGAAACTTTGCTTCCTTTGCTCCTATTAAACAAACTCGCGAGACTAGCATATCTCGGAGGCGCGCGCATACGTCATACGCCTTCTGCCGGAACAGATCCGCGTATGATAGATAACGGAAGTGAGAGAAAATTGTTTATTACGTTTGAAATATGGATATTTTTCTTACAAAAACTCATGGATTCGCTACAGGGGGCCTTTATTCATCCCCCGGAGCTGTCTGCGGCACGTTTTATTATGAATGCGCAAGCTTTATTTGATGACTTGTGGACTGTTCAACTGCAACACCCACAGACTGCAATGATAGAGCTTGGAATAGCCAGGACAATTTTTAATATAACTCCGACTGGATTCTTCTGAAAGAAGAAAGTCATATACACCTAGGATGCTTCGAGGGTAAGTAAAACACAAGCTAATTTTCATTTTTGGGTGAACTAACCCTTTAATAGCAGATATGCTATATCGCACACCCCAGACTCGACTTGAGTGGAAAATGAATCATCCGCGGTTGTACACGCCCTTGTTTGCACATTAGCTTGTGTAACTTGCAAACGCCAGAACACTGATTCATCAAACCTGCTTTCCTGCAGTCCGTGTTCTTCTGACTTCTTACTATTTTGTAGTAAGTAACGAATATGCTTCGGGGAAATGTATCGGAGTAAAAGTATACATTTTAATTAGGAAATGTAGTGGAGTAAAAGTAAAAGTTGGCTGAAATATAAAAACTCAAGTAAAGTACAGATACTCCCAAAAAATACTTAAGTACTGTAACAAAGTATTATTACTTCGTTACATTACACCACTGGGTACATTAAATTGAGATGCAAAATGAAATTTTCTGAGAAATTATTCAAAATTATGTGAGGTCTGTGAGGTGGGGAATAGATTTTTTTTGATTTTTTAGACAAGCATTACTGTGTGTAGATAAATCTCATATGATATGATCTCATTTGATGTGCTCTATTATACAGTTAATAGACACAACAAAAGTGAGTGCATATTCTCAGGCTTGATGTAACATACTGCAGTGTTTTGTCCTCACAGGAACTCTTCAGAACAGAGGGACATTAGATGGAAGTAATGAGGGGATCACCAGCATTGAGTTCGACCCGACGGTATGAACACACACAAATCATTGTGTTTGAATAAATTATACACAGAAAATGAGCAATGTAACGAGACAACATACTAGAATGCCTCTATTATAATCCCTGAAGCAGTCACTCCCTGCAGCTTTGCACAGTTTTAGATATGAGCGCTGGAGTTCAGCACAGCTTACAAAATCTCAACTCTTTGTTGGTTATAATGGAAGCATTGTAGTTTTCTCGCTTTGCTTGCTTGTTGTGTATATTGGGTGTTACAGTGCATGCATTTTGCTTCAGTTTCTCTAGCAGTAATTTCTGTGTGCACTGCAACCAAAACACAGATCTGTGCATCAGACTTCAAATTCGCTCATTAGGACCTGCTTTTGTGATTAACCAATTTAATGCCTGCATTTATGTGCACAACAGACGTTTCTGAGATCGTTTCTGCAATGCTTGTACAACTGCTACAAAAAATGTATGAATAAAACTATAATGCATTAAAAGTATACCCAAATTAAATACTGTAAACAACTATTTCAATAATGTTCTGATGTATTTCAATTTACTCACAGAACTAATTAGTGCTGATTTAACAGAATTACAAATGGTTTTTGAATGTGTTGCAGCTTTTTGCGCTGCTATACCTGTTTAGTGAATTAACCCCCCTTATTGGACTTTAGTTCAGGGCTTGTTGATGCCAAGAACCCTTAAAGTATGATGATTCCCTTCCTAAAATATAAGAGCACCTATATTTTCATGTATGCTCATTATAATGTTCCTTAACAATAGTATGTGTGCTATAATGTGCACATGTGTGGAAGGTGAAGGTGGTGCTGGGGAGGAGGAGGGCTAAAGAAAATTCTCATAGCGCGCACTAATGAGCTGTATCAGGTTGGGATGGGAATTGCATAGATATGAAAGAGAGATTGTTTGGCTACATTGACTGCTTGGGAAAACCAATCAGCAACTCTAAAGAGAAAATGTCTTGGTTACGTATGTAACCCTCGTTCCCTGAAGGAGGGAACGGAGACGTCACGTCGGTATTGACCGACTTTGGGATCTCGCTTAGAGAGACCAATCCACTTCGAGTGTAAACTAAATTGATGCAATGATTGCATCCAGCTGCCGCTGATCGCAGCGCGAGTATAACTAGGCAGCAGGTGCAACGCATACTCAGGTTTTCGCTGATGAGCCGAGCCGGTGATCCGGTCGCTCAGTGGTGGTACAGCAGCTATGGTGACGGGACGTGATGTCTCCGTTCCCTCCTTCAGGGAACGAGGGTTACATACGTAACCGAGACGTTCCCTTTCAGTCGGTCACTCTCTACGTCACGTCGGTAATGACCAACTTTGGGATCCCTACCAAAGCGCCACAGATGCTGCCACTTCCAGTGTCCTGTGCGAGCCTACTGCGCCCCCTTTTCGGCGTAGGCCGGGGCTCGCAACAAGAAGACCAGTCACTGTTTGCCGTAGTACTACCCACTCAGTGAGATTGGATAACACTGGGAAAACATAAACGTTCCACTTGGAACAGGAACGTTGCAGAAGCCCAATCCTTCCCGAAGGAGGTTTTGGAAGCACTTACACATATGAACAACCGTTTAGGTGCATATGGAAGATTAGAGGTGATTATAACCCTCTTGGAAATGGCAGAAGTCTGCCAGGGAAACACGGGCTCTGAGGCTATACCGTGGACTGTATTTCTCATGGATTCATCGAGTGAGGGCCTGGCGCCGGACGTTCCGCCACATCTGGCTGCCGAGGGGATGGAGGAGCTTGACAGGGTTTACCCTACGGACTCTCTGGAGCGGTTTAGCAAGCCAACACTAAACCAGGGCCTCTCAGTGCTTCTACCCGTTTAAGGTGAGAACACAGGAGGATACCGGCTCCACACAAAGGCTATAGAATCTAGCGAACGTGTTGGGGGTCGCCCAGCCCGCAGCTCTGTCAGCGAGGCGCCACGAGTCAGCGTAAAGGAGGATGCAACACTTCTAGTAGAGTGAGCTCGCAACCTGAACGGGCAGGGCACACCCTGTGCCTGATAAGCCAGGGTGATGGCATCCACTATCCAGTGGGCCATCCTCTGCTTAGAGATGGCATTCCCCTTCTGCCGGCCTCCGTAACAGTCAAAGAGCTGATCTGAGGTCCTAAAGCTTTATGACCGGTCTACGTACCATCTCAAGGCTCGGATGGGACAAAGCAAAGTTAGGGTTGGGTCTGCCTCCTCTGGGGGCAGCGCTTGCAGGTTCACAACCTGAACCCTGAAGGGGGTAGTAGGAACCTTGGGCACGAAGCCGGGCCGGGGCCTCAGAATTACCTGGGAGTCAGCCAGCCCAAACTCTAGGCACGATTCGTCGACCGAAAATGCATGAACTACCTTCATGATGGAGGCCAATGCAATCAGGAGCAGAGCACCAAGTCCCTGTGTTCGCACAACTGATCCTGAGACTGAGCTAGTATGAGCCAGTTGTCGAGGTAGTTGAGAATGTGAATGCCCTGCTCTCTCAGCGGAACAAGGGCTGCCTCCGCAACTTTCGTGAAGACATGGGGCGACAGTGATAACCCGAGGGGCAGGACCTTGTACTGATATGCCCGTCCTTCGAACGCGAACTGCAGCAATGGTCTCTTGTGCGACGGCTCAATCGTATCCTTCGTCAGTAGGACTGTGATCTCCGCACGCAAGACAGGAGCATCAGCCGCCTTCACTGATGTGAAGCGGATGCCGCAGCACTTGGGGGGACGCCGGATGAACTGAATCGCATAGCCGAGTCTGATGGTCCGCAGGAGCCAGCGAGACGGGTTTGGTAGCCAGGCACCTAGACACCGTACAAGCTTGACCAGCGGGACCACCGACGTACCCGCAGTGCGGCAGTGGGGCAGCGAGGTGGAATGCAGGACCCAGTCTGTGGGCGGAACGAAGAGGGGTGCAACGTTCACCTGGTTCCACGGTTTGGCAGAGGGTGCGTGAGTAGGACCTTTGATGACGCTCTCGAACCGCCTGCTGCTGCATGCTGGCAAGAGAAGAGGATGAGTGTGGTCCGGTGTTGGTCCGTCCGCGACTCTCCGTGCCCTCTTGGGACCCAGAGACAGAGAAAACTGCTCTTTTGTCGAGATTTTTGGAAACAAGATGCTCCACCCGGCCCTCCTACGAGGGAGGGAGAGGTGCATTCACCATCCCCCGAAGAGCAGTTCCCTCTCTCTCTGGGTCGCCCGTCCCAGGGCCTCTTGCTCTTCCGCTCACCGCCAGGTTTGACGGGGGCCTGGACGGGCAGGACGGCCTGCCTACGCCCAGCTCCACGGTGCCGCTTGCCCGAGGCCGTTGCGGATATGGCACGGGAGCAAGGGTGGATGCAGGGGGCCGCCCTCGGCGACGAGCAGGCTGCGGCCGGCGGACAGATCGGACATGTCGGAACGCCTCAGTCTGCTCCTGTGCAGCCAAGAACTGCTGGGCCATGTTCTCGACTGCGTCGCCGAAGAGGCCGGTCTGGGAAACAGGGACCTTGAGGAACCAAACTTGTTGGCGTCCCTCATGTCGACCAGACTCAGCCAGAGGTGTCGCTCCTGGACCACAATTGTGGACATCGCACGAGCCAGAGAACTTGCAGTGACCTTCATCGCTCGGAGCGCGAGGTCAGTTGCAGTTCAGAGCTCTTTCAGAACTTTCGGATCGTGACCACCCTCGTGCAGGTCCCTCAGTGCTTCAGCCTGAAGAACCTGCAGTAATGGCGTAGCGTGTAACATTTAATTTATAATTTGTCTTAAATCTCATTTTGTAAAAAAAAAAACGTGAATCAAATCGAATCGTGAAATCAAAATCGTGAATCGAATCGTGAGTTGAGTGAATCGTTACATCCCTAGTGTAAGACGGAGGCAGCTTCTCCACAGGCCGCATAAGCATTGCCGGACAGACCAGACAAGTACCTACAGACCTGGGAGGGGAGGTACGGTTTGCCCTTGATGGGTGGAGACGGTATTAGGACACAACTGCATCGCAACCGACCACTCCACCGGGTGGACCCCGTATACCCCCTTGCTGCACCACCGTCAAGAGTGGTGCGGGAGGAGGAGTTAGCAGGCCAGTTTCCGGCAAAAAAAAGGTGCCATCCACGACCTGGTAAGCCCCTCATGCACCTCCGGGAAGAATGGCACTGGGGTGGAGCGCTGAGAACCAGCGCGGGCCACCCCGAAGAAACAATCGTCCAACCTTGAGGGCTCGGGACACGATGGAGGTCTCCACTCGAGCCCAAACCTCATGTCGGCTCGGGAAAGCATAGCCGTCATTTCCGGATCCGATTCAGGCATTGCAACAGTTCCGGAGGGCAGCAGCCGAATCTTCCTCTCCAGAAAGCTCCGGCTCACCCTCC